CAAGTGAAGTTGGTTATTACTAAAGCTTAATCACACAAAAAATTGAAACAACTCACAAACATTGCATCACTAACACTACTTTGACAATGTGCTACATACATAGTAAGAGTTGTGTTGTGTGTGCACATGCGCGCGTGCAAGAGAGGGAGAGAGAGAGAGAGAGAGAGAGAGGATTCTTAATCCAATCAGCCATTCAGTTTAATTTTCTTGTTCTCCTTACACAAAGATTGCAATTAAAATAAACTATGTTCCTTAAATGATAAGAAAGAAAAAGAAATCAAGTATTCAATTAAGAGGAAGCCAAAACAAAATGCTCCGAATGCACACAGTGAACAGTGAACAGTGAACAAATTTAACTACATAAAGTGATCCTAGCGTCAAGAAAAAATTCAGCAAAACACAAGTTTAGCATCAGGAAGTTGGACAATAGAATGGTAGTAGCATTGACAACATCGGGCAGCATACCTTTCACACTATCCGCTCCAACTCCCTCGCATAACTGAGTGTCTGATTGATGACTTGCAGAGATGGGTATCTCCTTGAAAGGTACAGATTCTTTTGCCTTTTGGAAAATCACAAACCCGTTCTTTATCTCCCACTCAGGATGTTCCTGCAAATTGCGTATAAAACGATGCTTATCAAAGGTTGCATTGGACACCAAATCAAGAACAAGGCTTCCATGTTGGTGGATTTTGGTATTACCATTAATACAAGGTTAATATGCTATCACTTAAGTATAGAATGATTAACCATAAATAATGCATATATTGCAACTCCACAAAGCCCTTGCATCTAGGTTCTATTTGATTCATTGATTTCGTGATTAAAAAAAAAAAAACGTAAAGGAAAATAGAAGGAAAATCATTTTTCTTCGTTTTGTTACCTTGGAAAATAGTGCAGAAAAGAAAACATGGTGAAAAAAAGGGAGAAATGTCAACTTTTAAATATCATTTTTCCCTCTTATTTTTGATTTCTTACCATTTCTTGTAAGTTTTTTTTTTTATATGTACGACAAAATAAGGAAGAAATTTTTTTTTAAAAAAGTTCCTTTCTCATTTATTTCTACTTTCTTCCTGCTTTCCCTCGCCATTTCCAAGCACCAAATTGAGACCTAACAGACTATTGAGAAGCAGATAGAGAAACAACAAATATTAAAACAGGATGTAGAATCCAATTTTTATTGTGTACACACTGTAATATTCCATATCATATTACCCAACAAAATTTTGCTCAATACAGCTCTTGGCCAAGAGGGGGCGAGTAAAAATGATGGGCAATAAAGAACAAAAAGATATAAGAAAAATAAGAGTTGACTTCTAATTAGATGGTTAGTACTTCCCTTTAACTATAGACCACCAAAGTAGATCCAGCCATTAATGTATTCCATTAGTTAACAATAAGAATGAAAATGAGCCTAGCAGCAAGAATTTTACCTCTTTGACATATTCAAAAAGTTCTTTGTCTGAAGAGAACAACAATATTTTCTAGGCATCATTAATTGAAAGTGAATCGTAGCCATTTCACTGCATCCAGTTATTTCATCTCTGCAAAAGACAATGAACTACTAAGGGCACAAAACTAACCACACTTTCCACCAAGTAGACAATGTGTGTATCTAAAGCAGTAACATACCAACCCACACTTTCCAAAGTGGTCATGCTACTAGAGTTGGAAAGAACAAAATAAGAAACGACAAGACTGAGCGATCTCTCCGCAGTGCATATGTATACATAGAGGATGTATGCGTAAATCCCACTTCGCAGGTCGCTAACTTGATATTATGAACAAATGTAGCAAAAGAGATATAAAAACGTGATAACCAAAACAAATTAACATAGGTCTCACTTAATATAATTCAAATTCAGTTAGAAAGTCAATGTTGCTACCACGCAGACAATGTGCATATGTAAAAGCGGTAATACCAACCAACACTTCCAAAGTGCACATGCTACCGTAGTTGGAATGAAAAAAATAAGAAATGACAAGAATGATTGATCAGTCTGCAGTGCATATGTATACAGAAAATTTGTGTAAATCCCTGTTCTCAGGTTACTAACTTGATATTATGAACAAACGTAGCAAAAGGGATAGAAAAACATGTTAACCAAAACAAATCAACATAGACCTCACCATAATTCAAAGGAAGACTTACATATAGATCCTAAGAGGTGGACTTATTGTCCAATAGGTCTTATGGTTATTAATGACGTTTTTATCAAACACAACTAAAAAAAACCTCACTAATTGTTAATTTTCAACGATAGCTTGAAAATTATCACAAAAATTGTCACTAATTATAAGTTTTAACGACAATTTTAAAAAATCGTCACAAAAAAAAATTACTAATTTTCAACTTTAGGCGACAATTTGAAAAATTCGCCACTGAAAAAGTCACTAATTGTAAGTTTTAGCGAGAATTTATAAAAATCGTGACAAAAAAAGTCAATAATTGTCAATTTTTGGCGACGTGAAAAAAAAATCGTCACAAGAAATTATTTTTAGCGGCGATTTTACTAGGACTTACTTTCAATAGGACTTGATGTGAATTAAATCCAACTATTAGAACCTATTGGTAGTTTACCCTAATTCTTCTTCAAATATAGTGGGATAGTCAATGTTGCTACCAAGTAGACAATGTGCATATGTAAAAGCAGTAACACCAACCAACGTGCATTTAATTTGCATCATTATTTCCGCCCAAACGAAATTCAACTATTAGCTGCGACTGTCCACTAGCAAACTCTCATAAATGCCCCCATTTTCCTCTACTTAAAAGAATACATGATATTATATGAACAGAATGAACAAATATAATCAAATAAAACACCCTAAAAAATCAGCTATTATTTCGACTCTTGCCTCTCCTTTTAATCTCTGCCATAAGTAAAGTCACACAATTTACCTGACTGTCTTTGCCAACAGATCCATGAAATAAATGTAAGTTTCACGGCGTACAGTCTGTCTCGCACTCAAGACACGGTTGTAAGCCCCCTCCATAAACAATTGCTCCAGTTATACAGCATGCTTGATACAATTATTCTCCATAGCACTGGCTGAAAGCAATTCCAATTTTAGTGTGGAATTCAGCAATTCTGTTCTGCACAAGGAGTCTGAAAAGGTTGAGATCTAAGATAGGATACTCCTGAGGAGACGGTGGAAGGTGGCCAATGCTCTATCAAAGGAAAAAAAAAAGTCATGACCATTACCTTTCAAATTCAAAGGGCAAACAAGATAAATAAGATAAGTCAGCAGTAAGCTCACTCTTAGCGCCAGACAGAAATCAACAATGTCTGCCTGTCTCAATTGCATTATTGAACACTGACTACCCAATTTTATCAACACATCGTCAACCACATTACCCCCACTATATGCCACTAGAAATAGAAAAAAGTCGTTCACAATCATGAAATTAACGCCTTTATTGTTAACTGCTTGAGGACTTTCTAAAAGCGGCACACTTTGACACATGGATCAGGCAGGAAGGAACCCAAACAGACATGTTCCAAAAAAACATATTCAAAAATCCTTCATATACCTTAAATTCAGTCTGATTGTTTGGATAAGTTACTGTGCACTGAGTTTCACATGTGCACTAGCTCCTCCATGACCACAACTAGGATTAGCTAATTCAAATCAGTGTTATTAAAGGCGATAGGCGCACCAAGGTGATAAGGTCTCCTGGGGCCTACGCTCAAAGCACAAGGCAAGGCGTAGGCTTCACTGAAGTGAGGCACACCATGTACGAAAAAAATATATAATTTAATATAAGTAAATAATTTAGGATTCAACATAAACAAAATGAAATGTTAAACATTTAGTGTTTTTTGGAGATAAGAAATTAGGGCTAATGTTTCTTCTATCATTGATTTGGGGTTGAATGCCCAATGTATTGGCATCTATAATAAAAGTAGGGATCTTCTGTAACTACATCATATTAAATCAATGGTCAAATGTTAAACAAAATCAATTAAAGCAACAATAAAAAAAGCCCTCAAGACACAAGCCTTGGGCCAGTTAAGTGCTATCGAAGTTGCCTGGCCTAGGACACTACAAGGCGCAAACCTTGGGCCTGGATGGGACTTGGGCCTAAGCGCACTTTATCGAAGTCGCCTAGCCTAGAACACTACAAGGAGCAAACCTTCAGCCTGGATGGGACTTGGGCCTAGGCGCGCCTTTAATAACACTAATTCAAATTAATACAGATATGAAGCACATAGAAATCAAAGCTTGAAGGCGATGCATTTAAAAATATGTTTCTCATCCAACTAGGGATGGCAATTTAAAACCTGCCCGACGGGGACCCGCTCCCCCAACCCTGATTAGAACAATTTTTTCCTGAAAAATACCACCGACGGGCTGGGGATGGTATTCAAAAATAAATCCCCGGTGATTTTCAGGCCGGGGACGGGGATACGTTTTTCAGCCCCGGCCCGTCCTCGTCCCTGGCCCCGTTTCCCCCCGAAGTAAAATTACTATTTTACCCTCTATCCTTCATCCACATATATACCCTCATATGTCTCTCTCTCTCAGAATGACCCCTCCTCAGTCTCTCTCTCTCTCTCCCCTTACTCTCTCACACTCTCACACATCTCCTCCTCCTTAGCGACGCCTCCTCCTTAGCGGCGCCATCGCCACTGTCCAAGATGCCGGAGTTGCCGTCCAGCTCGCACCGCCGCTTCACTCTTGTGCCTCTTCCACTTCTGTCCACGTCGCACCGCCGATCCACGTCCACCTCCTTCATCGTCCATCACCGACACCTCTGTCCACCTCGCATCGCCGCTCCACCTCCTCCATCACCGCCAATCTCCTTCATCGTTCGTCACAGTCACCAAACCATCACCTCTGTCTATCATCCTCTCTCTCTCTCTCTCTCTCTCTCTCTATGTGACACACTCAGATACACAGATCTAAGATCCGTTGCTAATGATTTCATTAGCTGAGATCTGTTGATGTTTGATGATTTTGTTGATGTTGTTGATGATGATCTATGTTGATGTTGCTTTTTTTTTTTTTTTCGACCAGGGAATTATCAGGGTCGGAGAAACCTGATCCCCATTAGGGGACCGGGATGGGGACGGTAATAGGTTCCCCGTCGGGGATCGGGGCCAGGGACGGGGGATTTTTTGCCATCGGAGATCGGGGATCGGGGATCGGGGATGGGGAGTGTGATCCCCGGCCCCACCCCGCCCCATTGCCATTCCTACATACAACGCAATAATTTATCACATAGGTATGCAGCAAGACAACATAAACTGAAGGTGTTGTTTTTGTCCATCAAATCTAACTGCAACTACTGGCACCAACCAAAAAAAGAAAAAAAGCCAGAAAAGAAAAATCTGGTTTCAATCTAGAGAAACCAAATGTTAACATAATAGCCCACACAAATTAGAACATATAAACAATTCATTGTCCGGTTTAGTTTTCTGAGTTCATCTAACTTGTGGAGGGGTAAAAGAAGATAGCTAGAAACTCTCCTCAAAAAATGACTCCAAATCAACTCAAACATGGCAAAAAAGTATATGACCTTTTTTATACAACCTGAAAACATGTGGTCCTAATTTCATCATTTGCCATCCATTTTTGCCGAGGATATTGAAAATATAAAGGTATAGTAAGGTTTCAACTGAAAAAAATCCCTTTCAAAGGCACCCTGGTCCTCAATCTTCACACTTAAAACAACTGCATGCTCATATATATGCCCTGCAAATTGTCAGTCAGAAACATCATCGGTGAAACAGCTCAGGACTTGAAAATGGAAATAATTTGACAAAATTCAGTACACATAATATTCAAATTTCCTTAGAATGTAATTGTAAAACTTATACATAAGTCATGAGCAGCATGCCACGTTAACCAAATCAGGTATTCTAGTCAAAATGCTAGGACTTGAAATAGTTAATCTTTTTAAAGATACAGTTGTTTAAACAAACTCAGTCATCAGTGATTTCCATCTTTTAATTTTCCTTATCCAATTTGCAAGTATGTTTCACAAGAACATTCACCTAAAGGGCTGTGAAAACTTGTCTTATGCAATCTTCACTTTTAATCAACTTTTCCATAGTGGTCATCACTTTCCATACCTCAGTACATATTGTTATTATTATTGCACCACAACTGAAGATAAGAGCTGACAGCGCTCTTACATGTCACGATACTTGGCCAGGACGTGTTGGGTCTTGTGGACCCTAATAAGTATTGTACACTGAGCAATACGTCCAATGGCAGGTTTTGGGAGGGACTCCCCCAAGGGCTGAGGGGTCCAAATATTTTGGGCACTCTGGTAATTTCTTGTTACTTCCGCGTTGTCCTAATTTTTATACTAATAAATAGATGAAGCAGGCACCTCTTGTACTATAGAGAGTCAAGAGTTGTATCTTTTTTTTATCATAGTGAAAGCCGTGGACTTAGCCCTATTCTGGGGTGAACCACGTAAATCTCTGTGTTCTTGTGTGTGTGTGATTTCTTCGATTCGTTTTATCTTTCTTGTTTGCTATTTTGTCTCATTGATCCTTGTTTGGAAGAGACAATTTCCTAACAGGACGAACACAAGAATCTAACTTTGGTGGGGCAAAAGCACACGACTCCTAAAAATGCGGGAAGAGGGGGAGGGGGAGGGGGAGGGATAGAATAAAAAAATATAAAGAAAGCAAATGATCAGTGGGTTCAAGCCATTTGTCAAAACTTTGCTAGTTTTTTTAATCCAAAATTAAATTCCAGCCTCTTGTCAAAACTCATCACCGAAACACCTAATTTTCAAGGCATGATAACGTTTATGCTTACAATTTTTATGTTTATAAATAAAAGGGATTTATGTGTAGATCCTAATAGGTTGACTTATTGTCCAATAAGTTCTATGATAATTAATAGCGTTTTTCATTAAACACTATTAAAAAAGTCACTAATTGTTAATTTTCAGTGATAATTTAAAAAATTCGTCATAAAAAAATCACTAATTATAAGTTTTAGACACGATTTATATAAATCGTCACAAAAAAAAGTCACCAATTGTCAATTTTTAGCGACATGCAAAAAAATCGTCACAATTATTTTTAACGACGATTTTACTAGGACTTATTTTCAATAGGACTTGATGGGAATTAAGTCCAACTATTAGGACCTATTAGTAGTTTACCCTATAAATAATTTAAAAACTGTGTACAAAAACTGATTTGGTACCTAATTTTGTTTCTAAAAATTATAGACAAACTACACTAAATTTTTCATTAAAAATAAAAAATTTATTTTACTCGTCTCAAAAATAAGTTTTCATTCTTTCCTCTTTCTCCTACCCCTTTTGGTCACCACCACCAACAATCATATTCGGCCAACACACAACCCAAAAACAAAATGTAATAGCCAAACCTTGTGTATGTGTGATAGAGATATGATATGAATGACGATCTTGTACTATTGTTAGATGAGAAAACAACAGAGAATTTCTTTTATTACAATGTATCTTCATACAGTGAAACAGAATGAGTTCATAATTACAGCATAAAATAAAGCACAATAAACTCCTAAAATGGGAGAGACATCCCAAACAAATACAATAATTACAACATAAAACACAATTATAAATAAACTCCCAAATGGGAGTGACATCTCAAACAAGTACGAGGGGAATAAATTTCACATGCAAGTGTGAAAAATCAAGGTCTCAGCGCAAGTTTGATTAGTAGGATTATAGTATAAGATTGGGGTTGTTAGTAGGATTATAGTATAAGATTGGGATCCACGTTCTAAGGTTAGATTCTTGATCTGCTCATGTTGTTCTTTATGTTCATGTTATTGCATTGCATGATTGAATATGATTTGTAAGCCATTGCATTGCTTTGAAGTTCGGTTTTGGAAAGAGAAAAATAGCATTCATGTGTTCATCAAGGAAAGTCATGTTTTGATCCGAAAGTTCATGCCAAGATCCATGTTTTTGTATTTGTTTTCATATGATTTTCAAGTATGGGTACCCAGGTCCATGTTTACGAACTTATAGCATGAAACCCCAGATTTTGTAAATAAAGAAGTTATGATTTTAGCATTCACATTCTTCATGATCTTCATGTTCATGTTCTTCACGGGTGAAAACCCAGGCCTCCAGACCTCGCTTCCCGAAGTGTAGTCGCCGAGATCACTCTCACCTAGACCTCACACTTAGGCCAAGCATCGTATCTCACCTTGGCCTACCTTGCATGATCACTTACACCTTTAGTTGTCTTGTGCGCACCTCGGCATGCAGCCGCACGCCGAAGCCTAAGTAGTCACACCTCGGCCAGTAGGTGTGGAACCTTGGCAAAAACCTAGTTGGTACCCAGCATGTCTTCCTGACATGTAAAACAGTGTTTTGACTACCAGCATGTTTTCCGAGATCATTCGCATGTGTGTTAGACTTGTTTTGAGATGTATGTTCAGTAGATTTTGCCATGTGTTTGTAGGACTTGGACCCTTGCCTTGATCCCAACGTCCCAAGAACTAAGTGAGTGGTATTTTTAATAAAGTTATGTTACAATGTTTTGATAAGTTTCGCTTTGACTTGTTTTGAAAAGTATTTGTAAGCATGAATGATTACCCCTATTTTATGTATCAAGCATAAGCTTTGTTTTGGATGACATTCTTGGAACCGTCCTTTCGTGTTAGGGGACGTTAAGCCTAAGTAACACCGTCCTTTCGTGTTAGGGGACGTTAAGCCTAGGTAACATAGTCCGTACGTGCCAGGGGACTTTAAGCATTTGTGGCACAAGTCCTTCCGTGCTAGGGGACTTTAAGCCTATGTAGCATAGTCCTTCCGTGCTAGGAGACTTTAAGCCTAGGTAGCCCCATCCTTTCGTGCTAGGGGACGTTAAGCCTAAGTAGCACCCTTGTTAAAATATCAGCCACCGACGGACTATGAACGGGTGTGCTCGATGTCGAGGTTATGCTTTTGTTTTGCCCGGAATGTCATCACCCCCATGTTTTAAGTTGACGTATGTTAAGTATATAAGTAAGTTTTGAAAGACCAAGTTTCGAATGATGTTTTGTTTCAAGCCAAGCTAAGATATGTTATGTATGGTTTTGACAAGGATATAATATGTACGGTTTTGAAAAGATCTTGGGTATCATTCATTTAACCCCTTTATTACTGGTACCATTCACTGAGTATCCAAGCTCACCCTCCCTATGTATGTATGTAGGTAACAACCAAGAAGTCGGCTACGCCGAGTTGTGTGTTTTGTATGCATGTTATGTTGGCAGTGAGGATGTCGGCAATTTTGAAGATTATGTTTTCTTGACTTGTATTTCTTGTACTTTATTCATGCCGGCTTGAGAAGCCTTTTACCAGGATGTAATATGTATTTTTGTACTTAATTTCTATTTGTATTCAAGTTGTAAAGCTATGTAATGTTGTATGCCATTCCATTTGACTTATGCACTGCTCTTATGGACCACTTGTATTGTAAATTATTGCTTCCGCACTTGTTAGCCCCATATATTTATACTCTGATTGTGTGTGAATTTTGAAAATTGGCCTTCGGTAATCTCGGATTACTGGCCATCACGGCACCAAACTACTAGGGGCGGTTTGGGGTCGTGACAGTCATGCAACATTACTAGTTTTCTTTTTTCAATCCTCAAAAGTCCTCCTATTATTGTCCCTTCAAAATGTCCACAGAACACCGAACACTGCAATCTACCGCACCTTTTCATCCCAGTTCTAAGGAAAACTAAACTCCAAGAACTTGCAAGCCCACCTCTTGAGAATGGCATCACCCACTCAACCCCAAAAACTAAGAAGATCAAACATCATAGCTTGTTAGCAACAAGGCAATGAATAAGGAGGGTGATTGACATTCTCCTTGCCTTACGTATATCAATATAACTAATTAATCTCTACTATATATCTTCATAATTTGGCAAAAACGACGATGTTTCATGCATTATGCAAACAAAATAAAAATATAACTAAATCATAATGAATCGTAAATTGAATTGTATGATTCACACAATTTTTTATTCAACAACATGATTCAAATCATTTTGGTTGAAACTTGTATCAAATCGTAATCGAATCGTAAATCATAGGATTCTAATGACCATGAACACGATATCACCTCCACATCACAAATCATGGCAAAACGAGCAAACTGAAAACACTCCCGCCTAGAAAGTCTCCAAGACATGCATTTTTTCTCTCCTCAAAAATCAAATAATCGTAAAGGTCAAAATAAAGCCTTCACGGACTAGATTTTCCAAACTTCCAAGGCCCTCCGAAAACATGTCTTTTCAAAACGTCGTTTGAATACTTTGCACTCCCTCAAAGTTTTGTCATCCAAACCCATCCAAATGCAATATAACTGCCACCCAACAAAAAACAGTGTTTGTAACTAAGATGAAGCTTTTTTCTTAGCACGGAGAGGAATGACATGAAAAATTTAGCCTCACCAGCTTAGCTATTACATTGCTTCAGTCACTTCACAATGCAGAATATATAGGCAACATAGAAAGAGCTAAAACAACCTATAGCTCACAAGCCAAGTTAAGAACAATGGAATAGATAAAATTCAAGAACCAGCAAAGAGGGATAGCAGTATACGGGTTTTCTTCTTAGTTCATATCCTAGTCTTGCACAAAAACACACAACCCAAGAGGATAAAATCATGTTGTGAATCAACAATAGTGTAGGTTTATCAACAAATAGCAACACAACTAACCAAAGGAACGCAATATATTTGATAGATAAAGTCGAGTAAGTTACTTGCTAATGTCAACTCTTCAACGGCACTGGGAGTTTCTTCAAACAATGGTGGAAGGCTTCTAAACTCTGTCAGCAATACGTGCAAAATAAAAGATGACTCACACCATACTGTAGCCAATCGGAAATCGTCTTTGATCAAATATAGAGATTGAGAGGTTCCATTCCCTCTAACTCCATCGATTTAGTTGAGTATTAGGCATCATATACAGACAACTATGTCTTACCACTGATACATCCCATAATTTCTTTAGCAATGGTATTGAAATACTTTTTTTAGTCCCAACCTAAACCCAACTCACTTGCCAAAGGGGGGAAGAATTTTTATATACGGATAGAGTACATGCCATATGGTACCTTTTACTATTGTAATTGACTTTGATAGTAGAAGCCATTACATTTATGTCAGGCGTTTGAGAAACACTACGAGACATATACATTTGTGATTGGTGAAAGATAGTATCCTATTCACATAAAAATATTTCTCCAAACGAGGACAAAGTTGCCCATATCTTGATGAAGATGGGGATTTTGAAAACATTTATCTTCTCGATTTTCCCCCACAACCTGAGCTCTATGCCATCACGCATCCACAGGTGTCCTCACCATTTTTTGTCTCATATGCCTGCCTGCACCCTCCCTCTTCTCTCCTCCTCTATCATTTTAGAGAGAGAAAGTGAACTTTCTTCAACCTCTTTTCTTTCTTTTTTATATAAGGAAAGTGATGATGCATCAATTTCCAATGTATATATTTACACGTATTTATGTAGAATTCCCCTATATACATATGTATCTGAAATAGCCATGGTACAGGCTTGTCAATTGTCAACAGCATTAGAAAGAGAATGGCCTCTACGATCACATATGACCGCGACCAAACAGGGTCTCTCTCTCTCTAAAAATTTATCACTGTCGAAATCATATACAAAAGATTTGAACAATTATGCCCAAGGCAGACCCACTTCCATACAATGTCACTAGAATGGCAGCATTATTGATATAAAAAAAAAAAGAAAAAAAAAGTACACTGAAAACCTTCCGAATTCAACCAATGCATAAACAAAGATGTCCAATTTCATACCGAATACCATCTAAATTTGACCAATACATAAACAACGACGTCTAATTTTCTGGTTTTGTATCAAAGTCCCAAATGTTACTAGCTATTGTCAATAAACACGATATATAATAGTTCAAAACTTGCCTATCCAAAAAAAAAAATTAGATAACAAAAATCAGTAATTAATAAGTTTAGGCCTTACGAAAGTGTAAGAGGTTCTCAAAAACAAATATTAAAAACATGAAATTGAATCTGATACGAGATAAAAATTAGGGTTTTGGGAATTGTGACCTTGAGCTGAGAGAGGAGTTTGGATCAAGCATCAAAATCGTTCCGAATAAAAGCGGCTTTGAATCTCTCGAATAGCTGCGAAACCTCTGTGAGTTTCGGATCCATCTCTCTCTCTCTCTCTCTCTCTCTCTCTCTCTCTCAACACTCTTACTTTTTCTGTTTCCTGAATTCTGAAAACTCTTCTTCGCAGTTACCACTCGTCGCTTTGAAAGCTTCTCTTCTGTGTGTGCAAGAAAGGATTGGAGGGAACTCGGGGCGGTTTGATCCGGGGTGGGCTGCCAAAATTGCCGCTTCGATGGATCCGGGTCTCTTTCTTTTCTTTTACTTTTGGGCAAATTACAAATATATCCCTAAAATTTGATTAAAATACAAATCGCCCCCGTAGTTTTAGAAATTACATTTTACCCTTAAGGTTTCTAATTTCATAACAAATCACCTCTTTTATTAATACATCATCAAGTCAATTAACAGTTTTTAATGATGTTAGAAATATATTTCAATTAATAATTTAGATAATATTATTATTGTATAGGAAATCAATTATGAATTTCATTTTTTTGGTTAATTCTGTTCTATAAAAAATTCTACCAAGAGAGTATTTGTAATTTTTCAAACCACAAGAGACAATTTATACTTTAAACAAATCTCATGAGGTATATTTATAATTTATCCTTTACTTTTTTTATCAAACTAGTGATATTATTTCATCGATTGAAATTATATTTTTTAAATAGAAACTTTTATAAATAAACTTACTAATCTTATATTCGATGATTTTTAAGTAATGTAATTTTGTATATCTTCTTATTTATTTGGGTTTTATACATATATATATTATTTATGACTTTTTATATGATGCTGATTCATTTAAAATTAAATAAGGAAAATGTTTGGTAGCTCAAAATTTTGTGGTTCAAATGGCTCAAATCTGTCAAAACGACGTCGTTTTACACTCAAAATCTGTCAAGACGACGTCGTTTTGAGTGATTTGAGCCATTTGAGTCACAAAATTTTGAGCTACCTAGCATTGTTGATTAAATAATTACATATCATTATAAAATAATATTAATTATATTTAACTTTACTGTTAAAAATATCCTTTTACACCCTCCCCCACTGTTTAAACCAAGTGGGATGGTTTTCTCCATGGCCGAACTACCATTTGACCGAAGTAAAACTGGCTCTACTGAGCCACAAAGTAGGCCGAACTATCCTTAGTTCAGCCCTTCCCTTTACTCTTCCCTATATCAGTTCTTCATCTGTTCAACCCATGGTGTGTTTGGACCGAACCAACAACTCTCGACCGGTATAACTCCCAAACCGGTATACCTCTAAGGTCGACATAACTTCAAGGCCGGTCTAACTTCAAGTTGCTCCCAGACCGAAGTACATTTACAATCCTCTAACCGAAGTAACTTTATAATTCGTGGGCCGAAGTAATTTTGTTTCTCCTAGGCCGGAGTAACCTTGCTCTCCTGGGCCGGAGTAACCATTACGGCCTTTTTACGTAGTCCTTCCCAACTCGCAGCTCGGCCCAATTTTTGTATATCTTTTTATTTATTTGGGTTTTATACATATATATATATATATATTATTTATGATTTTTTTATATGATGCTCATTCATTTAAAATTAAATAATTACATATCATTATAAAATAATATTAGTTATATTTAACTTTACTGTTAAAAATAACATAAATAATACAACATGACAAACTCCTAATCTATAGTATCACATAAATCGTAGTTCTATTAATTTCACACAAATATCTAGAATTCATTTGTAAATATCACCGTAAACCCAAAAAAAAAAAAATCAAAAATTATTTGGGCATCATGGCAGAATGTTATTTTCACAAAAATGAGTCAATAAAAATCTTTCATCGTTATTTTGGAAAGCCTTGGTAATGTGATGAAAGCATTTAATATGCTAACTACTTATGACATGTATATGTTTGAAACTAAGATTGAACAAGTATACCACATACCCAAAGAACTTTGTCCCTTACTATTTAACTTACTCATTTTTTAAATTCAAGAATGGCTAGTGCTAACTCTGCCGAGGTTGTTAACAACTCCGCCGGTCCCAAGCCCAGGTTAAGGAGAAGGGTTGTGTGCTAGGTAACTGACAACCAATATGTAAAAAAGCAGCTCAGATCCCTTATGACAATGAATCCTACTTTGAATCGTCTAAATGCTAGGTCGTTACCCTCATGTAACGTGTTGAACTAGCTTCAAAAAGTGAGCAAGGGTTGCCGCATCGACGCCTGGGTGCGGTGAAAAATGAGCAAAGGTTCCCGCGTTTTTCTGGACAAGCGTGGGTAAAGAAGCTAGTTCAAGACTATAGGTTTAGGGTAGCCACTTGGAATATAGGAACCTTAACTGGTAAGACAATGGAGTTGGTAGATGTTATAATTAGGAGGAGAGTTAGTATAGCTTGCGTACAAGAAACTAAGTGGACGGGTGAGAAAGCTAGGGAAATTGAGGATACCGGTTTTAAACTATATTATAGTAGCAAGGATAGACGCAAGAATGGGGTAGGAATCTTAATTGCCAAGGGTCTTGTGGAGAATGTAGTAACGGCCATTTGGAAAGGGGATAGGATTATGTCAGTTAAACTAGTTATTTGAGAGAATATAGTGAATGTTATTAGTGCATACACCTCTTAAGTAGGATTAGATGATCAGACTAAAAGGAATTTTTGGAAGCAAATGGATGAGATTTTACAGGAGATACCCGTAGGAGAGAACTTGGTTATAGGTGGAGATTTTAATGGTCATGTAGGCATAATAAACTAGGCTATGAAAGGGTGCATGGTGGATATGGTTTTAGTGACAGAAATGAGGCTGGAAAGAGTATCTTAGATTTTGCATTAGCTTTTGACCTGGTGGTGGCCAATACTATGTATAAGAAGAGGGATGAGCATTTGATAACCTTTAAGAGTGGGTCAGTTAAGAGTCAAATACATTACTTCTTAGTGAGAAAAGTGGACTACCTAAAATGCAATGATTGTAAGGTGATTCCTGGAGAGAGCCTGACCTCTCAACATAGGATTTTGGTACTGGATTTATGTTTTAGAAGACAATACCAAGCTAGGAAGGATAGTGGGTGTCGTAGGACGAGATGGTGGGATTTAAAAGGGGATAAATTAGAAATATTTAAGAACAAAATGGATAATGAAGGTACTTGGGATTTGGAAGATGATACTAACACTATGTGGAACTTGATGACCAATTGTATGAGGAGAATCTCAAGGGAAGTTATTGGAGAGTCGAAAGGTGCGGGATCCAGATCTAGGGAAACTTGGTGGTGGAGGAAAGAGGTTTAAGCAGTAGTTAAGGCAAAAAAAAGAGTGCTTTAAAAAGTAGTAAAATGATAGAACTGAGAAGAACCTCAAGAGTTAGGAATGGCAACGGGGCGGGGCGGGGCCGGGGATCACCCTCCCCGTCCCCAATCCCCGATGGCAGAACTTCTCCCTGTCCTCGTCCCCATCCCCAACGAGGAACCCACTACCGCCATTACCCCCGCCCCCTAACGGGGATTGGGTTTCCCCGTCCCCGAAAATCCCCGGCCAAAAAAATAACATCAACATCTCAAAAACATCAAGAACATCAAAAAAAAACAAAAAAAAATCTGTCTAATGGACGACAGAACAATCTGTTCAACACACCCACATAACAACAATCATCAACAACAACATATATATATATATATATATAACAATCATCAAAAAAAAAATAATCATAGATATATATATACACAACAATCATCAAAAAAAAATTTCAGATCTGAGGGAAGGCTCATGGACGGAGGGAGGGCTTCACGAATCACGATCTGACGAAGGGCTTCCCGGATGGAGGGCTTCTTTTTCTTCAGATCTGTTCAGACGGAGGGTTCACAATCTAACGGAGGGCTTCAAGATCTGACGGTGACGGACGGAGGGCTTCACGGACGAAGGGATCTGACGGACGAAGCGCTTCACGGACGGAGGAAGAGGGAGAGGGAGAAGAGAGGGAGGGAGAGAGATGAGACTGAGATTTGAGTCAGTGAGTGAGAGAGAGAGGGATGAGGGCCACGGTGAGAAAGAGAGACACAGAGGAAGTGAAATGGGAAAATAGGTGTGGTTTATATATATATATATATGAGGGGTAAAAGAGTATTTTCACTTCGGGGATAATTCGGGGCCGGGGACGGGAACGGCCCGGGGCTTGAACACTGATCACCGTCCCCGGCCCGAAACTGGTTGGGGATTTAATTTCGAATACCATCCCCGTCCCCACGGGGGTATTTTTCGGGAAAAAACCATCCTAATCGAGGTCGGGGGATCGGGTCCCCGTCGGGCTGGGTTCAAATTGCCATCCCTAGATTGGCTAATAAGGAAGTCAAGAAAGTAGTGAGAGAGACTAAGTTGAAAGCTTATGATGACCTATACACTAGACTAGATAGTAAGGAGGGAGAGAAGAGGATATACAAACTTACTAAGAGTGAGGATTCTAAGGTATTGGTGGGGGATGAAGAGATTAAGGAAAGATGGAAAAACTATTTTGAGAAACTATTAAATGAGGAACATGGAGGTAAGACAATAGGGGAAGAAATAGCCAGTAATACCATAAACCAAAACTATAGGTTCTATTGCAGGATTAGGAACTTTAAAGTGGAGATTGCACTTAAGAAGATAAAATCAAATAAGGCTTTAGGACCAGATAGTATCCCTATTGAAACTTCGAAGTGTTTGGGTAAAAAGGGGGTTGCTTGGTTGACTAGGTTGTTTAGCAAAATTTTGTTGACTAGGAACATGCCAGATGAGTGGAGGAAGAGTATTTTAGTGCCAATCTAGAAAAATAAAGGAGTTGTCCAAAATTGCAACAACTATAGAGGAATCAAGTTAATGTGTCATATAATGAAAGTGTGGGAGAGGGTGATAGAACGCTGATTGCGAGATATAACAGAGCTGTCAGAGAATCAATTTGGGTTTATGCCTGGCAGGTCAACAATGGAAGCAATCTATCTTTTGAAGAGAGTAATAGAAAAGTATAGAGAAAAGAAAAGAGACATTCATATGGTGTTTATCGACCTTGAGAAAGCATATGATAGAGTTTCCCGGGATGTAATATGGTGGGTGCTAGCGAAGAAAGAGGTGACAAAAGATTGCATTGATGTG